AAGCTTTGAAGTCTGAGATGGATTTACACCTTTCAAAGGCATTAGGAGCTCTCAGATTCAGATTTGTGAGGATCGATCCAAAAATCCCATCTAAAGTCAACACTGTCTTCAAAATACACATCCTGTTTTAAAACTTAAATGGTTAGTGAAAGTGTTATACTTCCTTCATATTGTTGGAAAATGTATGTTAACAGAAGACAAAGAAGCTCTCTGATTGGGCTGGGGATTTAGCTCAGCGGGTTAAGTACCTGCCTGGCAAGCACAAGGTCATGAGTTTGATTCCTAGTACCAAAAAAAAACAAAACAAAAAAAAAAAAAAAAAACAAAAAATCTTGAAAAAAACAAGGTCTCTGATATTAAGTGAAGCTCAGAAGAATGTCAGTATGAACCAGAGCAGTGTTTCTAATGAGCTTCAACAACAAAGAAATATCTGGGATTCCACTAGAAAGGAGAAGAATCTAACAGTGTTATTTTGCTTCTTTTTAAGGGTAACCAAAAATCATCAACCAGTATAACCCACTTGGCTTTGATCATAACAAAAAACATTCCAAATACCTCAGGCAGACAAAGAACCAAGGTCTAGACTCCCATTCTTCTCACATTCCTCAAATTATTTCAAAAGATGAATAAACAGTAGATATCCTGTCTTAGTAATAAAAGAGATTTCTTATCAGATAGACAGACAGACAGACAGATAGACAGACAGATCTCCAAAATTTAACATTTTGTTTTGTTTTGTAAGGGGCAATATTTTTTTTCCTATTCATAACTGTTCAAACTTCTCTTTATCCACTTACAAATTAACTATGAATTTAGTATTGTTAATGATACCTTGGGTCAGAAATAAACAATTGGGTAAGACAATGCAAAACAGGATCCAAGAAGTCCCACTTACCAGATTTAAGTCCTGCCTTTACCATGTTTTACTTGAGTTACCATAGACAAACTTCTTAACCTCTCAGGCTCAGTGAATTCATTCATGAGATGAGTTTAAAATAGCACCTATGTCAAGGCTAACTGTGGGTGTTAATTATATTAGTTGATACTGAACAAACACCTAGAATGGTATTTGATATATCGTGTGTATATAATAAAGTATTAGCTGTAATTATAATTAGTAACCTTTGTGCCAGCTCCAGGAAATTCTTTGGAAATGATTACATTCACCCTTCGAGATAATGTGGTAGGACTTACAGTTAATCTCTCCAGTTCATTTAAGTGAACATCTGGTCTAGTTTTCATTCCAAACAGTATCAGTTAGAATGACTCAGCCAGACCATGACTAAATAAGGCAAACATTCTCTAATTCTATTACACCGCTGACCAAAAACAGTTTTTCTTTCTTTTCTTAGGTCCAGAGACAATATTGAAATAGGGTGGTAATTCATTTTGTTTTACAGACAACCACATGTTTAAGTTAAATACAGAGTCCAACTACACATATCTCACTTAAATATTTTTAAAAGCAGAAACAGCATCATTCATGTACTCTATAAAATTCATGTACTCTATGAAATTATCCACTGAATCTTAATTATTTTGTGTGAGGATCTTCTCCATAGACAGAAAAGATACGACTAATCTACATGTAGGAATCTTCACATCAATTGTATACTGCTCTGTAAAATATAAAACTTTCTTTTCTATGAAACCATGAAGCCCCAGAGATTCCTAAATTATGTGTATTCTTTTGTTCCAGAAGATTTATAGAAAAAAGGAGACCTTTCAGATAATATGTAGCTCAACCACATTTTAGAGAAAAGATAATTTAAGAGTGAAGCAGAAAACTGACTTATTAAAGGTCACTTAACAAGATTAGGAAAAAACTGAGACCAGAACTGTATCACCTGACTGCTAAAGCAGCTCATTTCAAACAATTCCCAGAGAGCTTGAAATTCCACTGCCTGACATCACAAGAAAAATCTTAACACTTGGCCACCAAGAGACTTATCAGCCTTAGTTTCTTCTTCTGTCATCCATTTACAAATTGCAAACTGAAACAAACGTTCCCTTCTATCTTGACCACCTGAACACCATATGTCACATACTTGATATTTAAAATAAACTACAGGTGTGACTCAAAAGACCCCAATAAATGATCAACGATGCACTGTATCTGGGTGACTTTAACTTTTATTGAAAACAGGATGGGCAAAGTTGCAGGTTAAATTAACTACAAGGATTACTTCAGTTACCACTCACAGAAATTCTGTGGTCCAGTCAGTATCATTACCACACTTTGACAGGAGGGATGAGTCTGAGAGATATAAGTCAGTTGCCTCAAGTTACACAGGTACAAAGCCAGCCATAAACTCCATAACCTTCCTCCTGTGGAACATGTGGACTATTTACTAATTCTAGACTGGTATTGCAGTTGGCAGCTCTGTTTCTGACTCTGTTTGATGCTCTACTTTCTGGTTTAACATTTACAAAAAGCTGAGTCTACTGGCGCACACCCATAATCCCAGCACTCTGGAAGGAAGATTGTAAACTGGAGCCCAGCCTGGACTATTTAGTGAGATGCATTTTAAAATTTTTAAAATGTTTCAATGTTTTTCTTAGTAAATTGTTCAAAAATCTAAATATTAAAGATGAATCAATCTGACAGAAGATAAGATAGGGAAACTATTGAAGTGATAGCCCTAGCTGAGGACTTTCTAAGCTAAATACGAATAGTGCAAGAAATAACACCAGCAGTCAGTAAATGGGATTGTAATTGATTAAAAAGCTTCTTCATGGAAAAGGAAAGAATCAACGAAGTGATGAGACAACCTACAAAAGGAGAAAATCTTTTCTACCAGCTATACTTCAGATACAAGTTTAATTTTTTTCAATTAAATTAGAATCCCAAAATAAAGGCCCCAAGCAAAAAACAGGCAACTGAAATGGATAGATAATTCTCAGAAAAAAGTATAAATGGCTAATAACTACCTGAAAAAATGGTCAGCATCACTAGTCATATGAAAAATACAAATAAAAACAACACAGATTCTATCTTACTGCAGAAAGAATCACTACCATCAAGATATGAAATAATAACAAACACCTGGTGAGGTTGTGGGAAAAACAGAGCCCTCTACATTGTCGATGGGAATGTAAACCAGCAAACTCACTCTGGAAATCAGTATGGAGATTCCTTAAAAAATTTAAAATAGAAATTCCATTTGATCCAGCTATTGCCCTTCTAGTTCCCCTTCAATCCACCCTTAAAGAGTTAGAGACCCATATTCTATTAAAGTGCTATATAAATACCCATATTTACAGTAGCACAATTTATAACAGCTAATTTGTGGAAGCAGCCTATTTGTCTATGTACAGATGAATGGAGAAAGAAATGTGTGATTTATACAAGATGGAATACTACTTTCCTGTAAAGAAGAATAAGTAAGTCATTCATAGGAAAATGGATGCTTCTTGAATCCATAATGCTAAGTGAAATAAAAATACACAGGTCAAAAAATCATGTGGTTTCTCTTATATGAAGAAATCCAAAGTGTAACTAAACAAAGATCAAAATAAAAGGTAGACAGTGGAAATAGAAAGCCGAATCTTTGACAAAGGGTACAGGGCTAAGAGATGAAGGGAAGAAGGAAAGAAGAGGGGAAGTGGGACATGAAAAGATGTGCCATGTGTATGTACCATGAACACGTACTAATACAATAAAACTGACATAATTCCCTAGAACAGGGGAACGGGGGTGGGGCTGTAGCTCAGTGCAAAGGCCCTGGGTTCAATACCAAGGAGGGGGAAGGAAAAATGTTCACATCAATGTATTCTGGGTTTGTTAGCTTAACATTTTTTTTTTCAGAATTCCATTCTATTTATTAACAAAGGAACAACAGTTTGGCATCTTGCACTGTTTTAGTAATTTATGTTTATCACATATACTTATTTAATCTTTACCATAACCCAATGAGATAAGTAAAATTAATACCATCACTTTATAAATAAGAAAATTAAAACATTTTTTCTAATATCCTACTGATAAATGGCATACTTTACCACAGAAGTTGCATCATCTAATGTTATAATTTTTCTTTTTGTTCCTTCTTTTAGGTCAGGGAATCTCACTTCAAAACACATAGTTTTAAAGTGGTGTTTATTTTGAAGAAAAATTGAGTGGTCCTAGCTCCTCCTCTTGGCATCCTTGTCATGATAATTTTGGAATGTAGCAGAAATCACAATTTGAAAATCGATGCTTTCAAATATGTTTAAATATTTTTCTTTCCCAGTTATTTTATGCAATCATTGTTTCCAAAACAAAAGAATTTTAATGCTGCAAACACCAACCTGTAGATAGATATGCAACTACAAGAAGCAGTAATTATTAAGGCTTTGAAAACATAGTGAAGGGATAATAATATTAAGAAAAAAGAAACACAAAATTGCATGCATTGTATAATTATACCTATGTAAAAATCTACAAGCATATATGTTTTAGAGTTCATATATTAGAGCAGTGAAATTAGAGGTGATTTAAAAATTTTTTTCATCTCAAAATAGTCTATCATCTAAATTAAAAGTAACTCCAATAAAATATCAAAACAAAGGAATATTCCAGAAAAAGGACTCATTCATTAACTTGAAAGAAAGGCTTTAGTTGTAGGTTGAACTATCAGGAAAGAGAGTTTGCCTCAGAATCTATTTTGGGGGAGTCTATCTCATAATTATCTACAAGCATTTGGGGGATTATTTCAATAGCACTGCTCTTGAGAATTAAAGGTCTCATGAAATAAAATATGCTCATCTTCTTTATCACTTAGTGATTAAAAGAACTGCTTATGTTTTTTCATGGCATAGGTTCATGTTTACATTACAATAATGAGTTTAAAAGAAATGCAAACTACAATGTAGATGTAGCATGCATATATAATCTGGTCACAGGTATATAGTATCTATTTATTAAAAACACATAGGAATAAATCAGAAAATAAATACAACAGAATGTTGAAACTAATTGCATTGGAAATGAGACACTTGGATAATTTTCCCTTTTATTTTTCTTTTCAAATGTTCTTGAATAAGTATGAATTATAATGAAAAATCTAAACCTCAGTTTAAAAAAAATTAGACATCTGAAGTGTGAATTAAGAAAATCTAACATTTTATTTGCAGATTTTGAGAGTGAAGGAAGCGGTTCAGAGTACTATTTACTATGTCTCCCTCCTTGGGCCGTGGGAGATGGAAGGAAGTCACAGCAAGATAATCTAACCTAAATGTCATCCCCAATTTTTCTTTTGTCTTTTTTTTTTTTTTTTTCCTTTTTTTTTATCGGTACCAGGGATCGAACTCACGACTGCCTGCTTCCAAGGCAGGCGCTTATGCCACTGAGCTAAATCCCCAGCCCCCAGCCCCAATTTTTCAAAGCCACTTAGGTAGCTGATGTTTTAGTCTCTGGAGTTTTGTATAAAATTCTCATTTCAAAAAAGTGTGCACTTTGTGAATTAAGATTTTTAGCAGGTTTTCTCATCACAGAAGCCATTCTTTTGTGTTTTTAAATACATACCTGCAGTGATACTGCAATAACTTAGAAAAAGAAAATTTTTATTTTTGCAATTTCCATTGATATCATTAGCTGCTTTCACTGTCTCAGATACTGTCAAGCCTGGCTACTCATCACATTAGCCAGAAAGGTCTGTAACTTTCAAAATAACAGATGTCTGAGATCTCAGGAAATTATGATTCTGCAGACAAGGGATGGAAGTCTTCCCTGGTTTGTTTAAACATGGAGCTGTATTCAGGTCAAAAGCAAAGAAAAACAAAAAGAAAACACATCATCCTGGAGTGACCAACTGTTCTGATTTTCCTGGACTTGTCCTGATTTTAGCACTGAAAATCCCACATCACAAAAAATCCCTCAACCCGAGGCAGCCAGCACACTTGGTCATCCTAAATCATGTTCTGAAACTTAACCAAGACGTACACTTTAGTCATGATATAAAACAGATAATAAAAATTGGCAAAAAATAAAATGAATATCTCTAAGTGCACAATTCATCTCTTTGTGGAACATGGAATCCATCAAAAAATCACATTTGAGAATGTAAATACCCCTTGGACTTTCAGTCTTCTTGAAAGTTTCTCTTTCCCACAGTGCATTTCATTTAAGAGACTATGGTAAGGTTTCTTGCTAAGACTACATTCTAAAATGCCTCTTAGGAGAAGGCCAAAGCAATAATTTTATCTGAAATGTACTTCCTATTCCCAGCCAGCATGGGTAAATATTGCCTTTGGTTTTTTTTGAAATTATAATGGTAAGATAGTAAGGCTAAATATTAACAACAGAGTGGTCTTTTAAAATCTGTACTACAAGTAAAAGGCTTGTGTCACTCTTCCATTTGTTGAGGTTGGATTGGGTGTAACTCATGAAAGGCATAAATCTGACACCAAATTACTTTTATATCTTTTGTTTAGTAACAATGCAATTTGAGGTATGCAACAAGGAATTCTTGAAAATTACTGAGATGAGTGATTCTGTTATTAAGATTTAGTGTATTATGATGAGCACAGGTTGAATTATGATAAATTATACAACTGTTAGCAAATATTAAAAATATAGCAAATCACATGTTGCCCTTTCTGCATCAAATCATAGTGTGGAGCAAAAACTTGCTCAACAGACATTTCTCAATTCTTGCCCCAGTTGAGATTATAATATTTCCAGTGAAAATAAAACACTGTTATTTTTACCTTTCTTGACTCCAATAAAGAGAAAGAAATTATATGGAAGGTCTAAAAGATGTGATTTCATAAGAACTTCTTTTGACATTCTTCCACAGTACAGCATCTTGACTAAAAGATAGGTCATAAAAGTTTCATAGTTTTGGCTCTGGTTTTAAACGTCTTATTTATTTTAATAACAAGCTCTGTAACCAGGATCAGAGAGCAAGCGATCTCTCGCTAAATCAGCCTGCCATTCTAGCCTGAGCAGAGGAAAAATCCAGGGACTGCAATGCACTGGAAGCACTGGGGTGATTCGTATGTGGTCTCCTAGCCCTGTTGTAGAGAGGCTTGTTCACAGATCTGGAGGCAAACTACCTGCATTTAAAATCAGGCTTTTTCCTTACAAGCTCTGTAACTATAGGCAAAGCACTTTAGCTTGAAGTTCAGTGCCTCACTTACAACAAACAATAATGACACTAACTTCAGAGCCATTCTGTGGCTTAAACTGAAGTATTAGAGCACTCTTTAAGGCAGAGTGAGGGTAGCTACTCATTGAAGCAATTCTGGAAGCTCTTGTCTGAGTGCCTTTATAAGAAGTGACCAAAAATACAGTGAATGCAGCTGCTGAGTGCCAGCCAGGAAAAAGGCAGGCTTGTAAAAGCGCGTGGTGTGTCCTTGTCTGCCTTATTCACCAGATCTGGCACAGTGTGAGTTTTGGCTCTTTCCCCAAAACCAAAATGACCACAAAAGGTAAATGTTTTGGATCAATTCAGGACTTTCAAGCAGTCTGACCACACAACTAAAGACACTCGAGAGACAGGAGTCCCAGAACTGTTTCAGAAAGTGGCAAAGAGATAGAATAAGTGTGTTTGAAGAAAGAGGGTCATAGTGAGGGGGACTAACATCTCTTTTACCATAATACATTTTTTAAAAATTTAATCATTTACCATATTTTCAAATCATAACTGTTTTGTGTTCAGGAAGCGATGGGTACTAATATAATTCTCTCTTCTTCCTTCTCCAGGCTCCGACCTCAGAGAACTAGTTAGTCCAAAGCATGGATCATGTTTGATTGCAACTTAGGTCTTCCCGCTGTCTTTAACTTGCAGGAATAAATGCTCATCCAACTTTTGTTAAACCCTTTCTAAATAAAAATAAATCTTCCTAAATTTCATCATCACTCCAGTATTTGCTCTTCAGAGAGATTTTTTTTTGTACAGGGTGTTATAAAGTCTTCTGGGACTTCTTTATTTTTAGGAACTGTCATAGGATAAACATATAACACATGAACATGATTATTACTAACAATACAATTATTTAAAACTGAATATTATAAATCATATAAATGAAACAGATACAGATTCACAGATAATGGCATTTGCAGCTAATGTATTCAGCCATTTTTCATTAAAGATAACCAAATGTATTATGAAGCATTGACAAATTTTACTAATGATATTAACTTGATGATTTTTTCCATATTTACACAGTATCTATACTACTATCTCCCCAGAATTGTATTAATATTGTGTTGCTTTTTTCTTTATTTTTAAGAAAATATTAAATCACAATCATTAATAGAAAGTAATTGGGAAACATTGATCTAGTTCAACCTTCTTTCTTTCCAGATTAAGAAGCTGAGCACCAGAGAAGGAAAAGTTATTCAGACATCATATCAAGTATCTATCACTGATATATCAACAGCAACTATTCAACCTTCCTCATTCTTTGAAGCCATTTTTGGTACTGCTATAAACTGCCTTATGTAAGTTTCATCCCAGACAGGACCTGTTTCAGTTATTTACCAATTTAGAAGACTCTGACAGAATAAATAATTCACACATTTTCAATGTCTTGAAAAATTACGAGGAACTACGTTGGTGGTAGATGTTTCTAAAGAAAGATAATGCCTTTGTCTAAAGGAGTAGTTTATGGTCCAGAAACTGTGACAGACTAATGATCTTGTTTCTCATCTCTTATGATCACACCACGGCACCTTGCCAACAAGGAAAAACAATAAATTTAACAAGAAGCACATTTCCTCATTGCAGCAATGGCATTGCAATGGTAAAACTGCCTTTCTAAATAAACAATTTTATTAAGATTAATTCATTCATCATACAATTAAAGTATTAAATATTTCCCAGTATATTCATAGGATTGTTGTATTAGGGAGTTTTCCAACACTATAGCAAAATAGCTGAAGTAATTAAATTATAAAGAGAAAAGGTACCTGTTAGTGTACAGGTTTGGAGGTACCAGTCCAAGATCAAGTGTCCTTACGGTCCTCTACCTCTGGTGAGGGCAGTGCATCACAGTGAGTGTGATGGATCGAATCTTTTCACCCCTTGAACCTTGAAGCAACTATAAGACAGGAAGAAACCAAGGTCTCCCAATCCTTCAGTGACCTAAATATCTGCCAACACATTCCAACCCCTAAAGTGGCCACCACTTCCCAGCAGTTCCACACTAGGGACTAAACCTTTAATACATAGACTATTGGGAACATTCAACATACAACCATAGGTATGGTGTATGGTGTAATCATCTTCTTCGTCATGTAAATATATACATATGTGTGTGTGTGTTTGCATACCTTTATTTTGTTATAACCCTCAGAAGGGGTCTTCAAACACAGAAATTTGTCCCCCCTTCTTTTCAACTGTGAAAGGTAAAACTCACAGCATGATACATGATTTTATTCAGCCTATTTTAACAGAGAAAATGTTTATTAATGAAGAACATCCTAAACAAAAGGAAAGTATCTGTGGTTTTATGGAAGCAATAGATGGGGAAGTAATGAGAAACAGTAGAAGTGGACCTTGAACTCCATGGACTCATATGTGAAAGTTGGTCTTTATGCTGAGTTTTTCCCCGAGACAGTAAAAATTGGCAAATTTCCTTTTTTCAGAACAGGCCTAGAGAAAGCTGGATTTACTGTCTTCTTACCTCGCTCCCTTACTCCTCTTTTTCCGTACCTTTCATAATTCTAGAGATACACACTATGTCTCCTTGTATGTAGGGACCAGGACTCACTCTAAGACAGAGGAGCCTCCAGTCAAGATCCTTGTGAAAGAAAGCAGAACTTGGTGGGCATCTGAATGTGAACAGGCTGATGAAGCACTAGGTTTCAAAGCAGACTCCTTTCCTCTTACTGCTTCATTCTTAATATTCTTATCCCCAAGTAACCTCTTTCTTCTCCATCCTGTTGCCTAGGATCAACATGGCCCTCTGGACAACACGTCTGCACTCTCCAGCTACCTCCCAAGGACTCCTAAATGTTTCTTTCTAAAAAGAACTTTCCAGACTTCAAATGCTATGCACAAGACTTTTTGGGGAGAGCTTTATGGTCCCTTCCAAATGACATTCTCTTCTTTGATAGTGTACTTTTTCTTAATTTATGCAAAGTGGCTTCTAAAACAAACTCAGGTTAGTCACTGGCTCTCTCTACCTGCCCTAAATAACCTTTATATAAAAATTCTAATAGGTTACCAAAGCCAAGTGAATGTTTTTTCTCTTATTGTGTCTTTAAAAAATTTGTCTTAATAAAAATTTGTATAAATATGTTTTTATAGTTTTGAAGACTTTTTAAAAAAAAGTAATTTATCTGTTCCCCAAAGTACATTTTATACCTAACAAGTGCAAATATTCCTGAGTTTGAGAAGCAAGGGGGAATTATAAATACTACAAGGGAAAATTTTTACATCAGCAGAAAAACTATGTCTTGTTCCTAGCACATGTTTCTAAGTTAAATTGGATTCTATGTGAGTTACAACTCTGTAAACTGGAAATAAACAATAGCAACTTCAAATAATTCTTTTTTTTTCTGTATTTTTCCTTTTTATCAGTACCAGGGATCAAACTCACGACTGCCTGCTTGCAAGGCAGGTGCTTATGCCACTGAGCTAAATCCCCATCCCCAAGTAATTTTTGTCTGTAAAAGTGCAAATTCCATTCAGGAGAGATTCAAATGACTTCCATCTCCCACTGTGGAGTCCAGTTTTGCTTCTATTTTCACATTCATTTCCATACTCTTAATCTATAAAAATGCTTGACTTTTCTTCCTTTTTGTAGCACATCTCTGTTTTCCAGATTACTGAGCTAAATTATTTGGGGGGGGGGGTGTGGGGGGGACCAGGGATTGAACTCCCGACCTTGTGCTGCCAGGTAGGTGCTCAATGCCGCTGAGTTATATCCCTGGCCCCAAGCTAAATAATATTTTGAACATGCTTTCATTTTTATATGTAGGCCAGTCTATTTTCCCTCCTTTGAAGGTTTTAGTCCATTATGATTTGGCCGTCTTTTGGGACTGTGCTTAGTCAGTGTATCATGCTGGAAACACATTAGAGCAATCCATCAACTTCATGATGGGGAAGAGAGGAAGAGAGTATGGCTGGGCTTTCGCTGTCTCCATGAACTCAAATGAACTAGGCTCCACTTCCAAAGGTGTCACTACCTCCTGATAGTGTTATACCAGAGACTGAACCTTTGCTGCACAGACCTTTGAGGAATACTTATGATCTAAACTGTAAAAAGACCCATATGAGAGTCATGACTATATTTATGTTGGATAATTATATTTCAACAAGTTCGAATAACATTAAATTGTTCATATTATCAAGGTTATCCAAGGAAAATTGCCATGAATATGATTTCAAAGGACTCAAAATACAGTAGTTAAGACTAATGGACCTGAAGTATGACTTCCTAGGTTCAAAATCTTCTACATTTCCCCCTAATCTCTATGGCCTTGGGCTACCTAGGCTTTTTGAGCATCAGAAGAAAGACTACCATTTATTTTGCAGGGTTGTAGTTGAAAGGATAAAGTGAGTTTATCAACCAATGTGTGATATACTGGAAGACCTCAAGCAATAATGATGTTCATCTTACTCTATGTGTCCTTCTTATTTCTCTTTCTCTCACTTTTAGCAACCCTTCCCCCTACCTTACCTCACCCCTATTCTCTCAAAGATTCTTACAAGTCTCTGTATCAAAATATAAAATGGGTCTAAGCACAGTTACTGGGTATATTGCAGTCTCCACAGACACATTTCCAACATACATAATTAGAATCCTTTTCTAACCATATTTTGCTAAAGCATTTGCTAAAACATTCTGAGAATAACCTCGCATTTTACTATCTACAATTATGGCCAGATTATAGAAAACCTCTTTACTGGTATTTCTGATTAGATATTTTAATGATAAAGAGAAAAAGAGGATCCTTCTGATTCATTGTGACTGAATAGAGGAGGAGCCATGTTGGAGCTACCCAAAGAAAGTCAACTAAAACCCAGGTGATTGGACGAAAAAGAGGGACATATATCCTGATGAAAAAATTAATCTGACATAAAAGACTTATACCATGGCTTATGTCCATGGTGGTGTGCCACTGCCACACAAAACAGATATAGATCTTCATAAAACAGCAAAGCAACCCATAGGACAGCCTTTGGGACTGTTGCCCATATACAGAGCAAGAATCATCATTCTGGGAAGTTCTCCTTTACAGAAAAGAAAAACAAAAACTTAATGGACTGTAATAATGTGGCAACTAAAGCCACACAACATAGATTTGGGATATAAGGCCCCTCACCTCTTTAGCCTTGTTCCAAACAGAGGATGCTTCAGTCTGGCAGCAAATTTCGCCAGCACTCACAGAGGCAAGTGACCAGAAACCTGCTGCCTCCACAATGTGTCCCCAGTTTTGTTCTTCTTTTTTGTGTCCTGCACAGTAGGTACTAACTGGAATCTCCAGCGACTAAAAGGTTAGGGACTGCAGTGCTTCAGTGAAGGTAGTGAGTGGAACAGCACAATTCTTCTTCCTCTGTGGCCAGTGGAGTGAGAGAGAGATGAACATGGGATGTAAGCAGTCTGGGCTGTGGTGGGGTGATGAGTAGAAAGTCGACACTTCCCCTACAGGAGAGCAGAGAACAGTTAGACTGAGCAGCCTTGGCTTATGTCCATGGTGGTGTGCCACTGCAAGGGTGGTGCATCTGCCAAAGGCACACAGGCACATGCAAATACACACACGGGCCCGCACGTGCTTGTATGTACGCATGTATGCACACACACACCTGCTCGGTAACCAGTGGCAGGAGAAGACAGACTTTCCAGGAGAGAACAGAGAAGGCTGTGCTAGGACCAGGAGGGGACAAAGATACATGGGACTGGGTGCTGCCTCAGGCTCTCTCTCTGAGAGCTAAACAGCAATTGGGAAAGCAAGGCAGAGACAAATAAGGTAAGGAGACATGAGTGAGTCACTAAGGGATGTAATCAAAGCTGCTGGCTGAAGACTGGCCACAGTCTCCACATTCAGAGGCCAAGATAAGCCCTATACTGTCCTGTTGCAGACTTGCAGGGTTGCCCAGCACAGTTTTGGGCTCTGATTTGAACACTACCACAGATCTGAGGGCACAAGAGGAATTTATTTCCTTTCTTTCTTTTACTTGCTTGCTTTCTCTTTCTTTTTTGTGTTTTTTTCTTTGTTTCTTTTTCTCTTTCTCTCTCTCTTTTTTTTGGTATTGGGGATTGAACTCATGACCACACAATTATAAGGCAGGTGCTTATGCCACTGAGCTAAATCCCAAGCCCTGTCTTTTTTCTTTTTTGTTATTGTTTATACTTGTTGTGATTCCTGTGTAGATTACCCCACCCACCTACCCACATAAAGCCTCATGCAGTCATAGTTTTTTCAGAAGTGACTGAAATCTAGTGTGTGATCCTGGGATTCAGGGTGTGGGATTAGTAAACATTTCCATTGATTGGTTTGGCATAGCTCTAGTTAAGATTAAGAGTGTCAGTCCTACATCCACCCTGAGCTGGGAAGCCTGCATACACTATAAGGGACAGAGTCTTGCCTGTTGCTTGTTTTTTTGCTGTCCTCTATTACTGTGGAAGACAACTGGAGTGACTACCCTTGAATAAAGAATAATTGCTGCAACCTTGATTATACTGAGACTGATTTCCTTATACTGATGCGTACAGAGTTGGCTGTGGTATTTCCTTTTCTCTGCAATTGGCTCTAAGTATTGCAAATAAGGCTAGTGAGGTGCTGGTATGTAATCTCTAAAGCCATCAGACAGTCTCCTGTTTCTAAGCATAGTGTTCTCCATAAAGGATATGAGCACAGAGGGATGTTAGACCCATCAGCTCCAGGAATGTCAACTGGGTATGAGCCTCAAGGTAAAGAGGCTCTGACTCCCTGGGGCATAAAAATTTACATATCAGAAACTGAAGCAACAGCCTCCTCAAACAATTTAGTTGCTACCTTAACTGAATTATGCAAATTGATCCTTCTGCATATTCTTATCTCTGCATTTTGCTCTAACATACCAGCTACTGAAAGGCATCTTGAAGAATAGACATTCCCTAAGGAAGCCTCAATATTAGTGATATAACTATATACCACAAAAATGTGTAAGCATCAAGTCAGAAAACATATTAAAGTAAAAAAGCAGTAAATGACAAGATGTAGAAGCAAAATGTAATCCCACACCTCCAGCTCATCCAAAACAATTAAAGAAACAATGAGATAGCAGAAATAAGAAACCAGCCATCTGATTCTCTGGAAATTCAGAAGCAAAGAAAAAGAGAGAAAAACAGATGAATGAAGCTATAGAGAACAATCAGATTAGAACTAACCTCTCAGGTAAGATAAGAGATAATGATCAAAACAGAGGACTTTTTCAGTGAATCTAGAATAGACATGGATTAAAAAAATAGAGAAACTAAAGAAAATAATGGAAACCATGAAGGCTCAAAATAGTAAAAAGTGGAATCCATAAAACATATTCAAACAGATATCCAAGAGATTAAACATTCCATTGAAAGTATATTTAGCCAATTGAACTAAAGTGAAGATAGAATATTAGATTTAGAATATATTATTGCAGTTAGTGATCACAAAAAGAAATATTTCTTGAAAATAGCAAGGGATCATGAAAAATCTATCCAACAGCTTTAAGATGATACAAAAAAAGAACATTTTAAGATTGATCAGAGTTGATGAGAAAGCAGAAGATAGTTAAAATGCCATAAAAAACCTGTTTACAGAAGTAATGACAGAAAACTTTCCAAGCTGGGAAACTGAATTTGACATGTAAATAAGTGAGGCATATAGAACACCAATTAGCCATTACCAAAATAAGACTACACCACGGCCCAGGAAAGAGACACTATGGTAGCTACTGTTACGTCGGGTTGTCTTGTGGTGAAACACTATGTTGCTTAAATTGTTCTGTTCTGACCTGTGTTGTTATGTTGTTATGTCCTCTTTTATATTAATCTCCTCCTTTATTTTTTTAATAAAACAATTGAAAAAAAAAAAACACTACACCAAGGTATGTAATGATCAAGATACCAAAATTCAGCACAAGAACAAAATATTGAAAGCTGTTAGAGAAAAGAAACAAATTATTCTTAAAGGCCATGGAATCACAGGAGTCTCAACACAAATCATTAAGTCGAGGAGAGCTTTGAGCAGCAGAGTATTTTAAGTCCTAAAAGAAAGCAACTTCCAACTTAGATTCCAACACTTAGATTCCATATTTCAAAATCAATAAAAAATAATACTTCCATGACAAAGAAAGTGGAACAAATTCATGACCACAAAACCAGCTTTACAAAATCTTCTAAAGGACACTTTAGAGAAAAATAATGAAGAAAAGAATTTTAAGAACACCAATAGAATTCACCAGGCAAGACAAGCAATTAAACAAAGGGGAAAGTCAGAGAATGAACAATAGGAAAATAATAAGACAAGATAAGCCAATATAAACCAGTTATAACCACTGGTATAAATGTTCTCAACTCACCAATCAAAATAAACAGACCAACAGAAGGGATCAAGAAATGAGATCCAACAATGTTCTGCATACAAGAAACACATTTAACTCAAAACAAAAGTCACAGACTGAAAGTCAAAGGATGGAAAACAATACCCATTAGAAAAACAGGAGTAGCTATTCTATTGAAAGATAAACTTTAAGCCAAGAATGATCAAAAGAGACAAAGAAAGTCACTACATACTTGTGAAGATAAAACTTCTGGAAGAAGAGCTAACAATCATAAATATACACACACCAAACAGAAGTGCACCCAACTACACAAATCAAATATCAATGGATGTGAAAAATCAAATAAATGGTAACACAATTATCATGGGGCACCTTAATACCCCAACTGTCACAACTAGATCAAAAAGAAACCAAAAAAAAAAAAAAAATCAATAAAGAAATATCAGAACAGAACCAAACCTGTGAACAAATGAACTTAGATATCTACAGAGTGTTCTACCTCATAATGGAATACATGTTCTCAATGCACATAGAACATTCTCCAAAACTGACCACATAATAGCCTACAGAACATGCTTAAGTAAATGCAAAAGCACTGAAATTATCCCTGTCATATATCAGACCCTAATGCAATAAAATTGGAAATCAATGGAAAAAGAAACCATAAACTGCATAAACACGTGGAAATTAAATAACATCCTTGTGACCAACAAAATGGGTCAAAAATAACATTAAATAAGAAATAACAAAGTTTCTAAATTAAATAATAATGCCAGTACAACCCACCAGAACCCATAGGGTACACTGAAGCCAGTCCTAAGAAGGAAATTTATAGTGATGAAACTCACAGCAGGAAAACAGAGCAAGCTCAAATAAACAAACTAATATTGAACCTCAAATTTCTAGAAAAAGAACAAGTCAAGCCCAAAGCTTATATGAGGGAGGAAATTATAATGATCAGAGCAGAAATTAATACAACTGAAACTAAGAAAACAAAACAAAGAATCAATAAATCAAAAAGTTGGTTCTCTAAACGATTAAATAAAATTGCTAAACCCTCAACCAAACTTATCAAAAAAAGAAAAGACTTAAATCTGTGCAATTAATACAAAGGGTGAAATCACAAGTCCTGAAATCACAAGTTCTAGAAGATCTTAATACCTACTTTGAGAACCTTTATTCTAAAAAGATGGAACACACAAAAGAAATGGATGGATTCTAGATACACATGAATTACAAAATCTAAATCAAGAAGATATACAAATTCTAAATAACTCAATATCAGTAAATTAAATTGAAAATGTAATTAAAATCATACCAACAAAGAAAAGACCAAATCCTGGTGGATTAACTACCGAATTCCACAAATAATTTAAAGAAAATTTAATGCCATTTCTCCTCAAACTCTTTACTGAAATCAAAAGCGTAGTAATATTCCCAAACTCATTCTTGGAATCATGTATTAATGTGATTCCAAAATGAGAGGAGGATTCAACCACAAAAGAGAATTATAGGTCAATTTCCCTATGAAATGTAGATACAACAATCCTCAGTAAGACATTGGCAAACAGAATGCAGAAAATCATAAAGAAGATTAGGCACCATCACCAAGTGGGACTCATCCCAGGGATTCAGGGATGGTTCAGCATACATAATTCAGTAAATCTAATCACCATATCAACAGTCCCCAAAACAAAAATCACATGATTATATCAGTAGACACAGAACAAGCTTTCGACAAACTCCAACACCCATTTATGAGAAAAATATTACAAAAATTGGAATAGATAGTCTTTATCTCAATCTGATAAAAAAGTCATCTATTTCAAACCAATAGCCAATATCATACTAAATGATAAATTCTGAAGACTTTCACTCTAAAATCAGGGACAAAACAAGGATGTCCACTCTAATCAATTCTATTCAATATAATTCTGGAAACATTATCCAGAGGAATTAGACAAGAGAAAAAATTAAAAAGAATAAAGATAGAAAAAGAAGAATTTAAATTATCATTATTTGCAGATAACATAATACACCACATAGAAGACCCCAAAAATTCCAACTAAAGACTTTCAGATTTAGTAACCTAATTCAGTTGTGTAACAAGATACAATGTCAACACTCAAGAATCAATAGCTTTCCTATAGATAAATAACAAAGTCACTGAGAGAGAAATCAGAGAAACAACTCCTTTCACAATAGCATTGAAAAAATGAATTACTTAGGAATTAATCAAACAAAGTAAGGATCTTTATAATGAAAACTGTAGTAGTCTGTAAAAGAAGATCAAAAAGAATAACAGAAAATGGAAAGATATCACTTGATATTGAGTTCAAAGAACTAATATAGTAAATTATACTCTCAAAATTGCTACACAGATTTAATGCAGTCTCAAACTACCAGTAGCATACCACACAGAGCTAGAGAAAACATTCCTAAAATTCATTTGAAATCAGAAGAGAGCTAGAATAATAAAAATGATTCTGAGCCACAAAAGCAAGGTTGGGGCATCATAATCCCTGACTTGAAATTCTATTACAAAGCTACTGTGACAAAAACAGCATGGTACTGGCAAAAAATCAAACAAACAAACAGATCTGAAGATCAATGAAGCACATTTGTAGGTTCAAAAACAACTACAAACACACTCAGCCATTTTACCTTTGACAAAGGAGCCAAGCACATTCACAGGCAGAAAGATAGTCTCTTTAATAAATGGTGTTGGAAAAACTGGCTTTGCATATGCCAAAAACTGAAACTTGACCTATGTTTCTCACCTTATAGTAATCTAAAATCAAAATACAAAAGATATAAGATATTATCTTATCTTATATCTTTTAAGATATAAGTATTATCACAGAAATACTAAATAAACTAGAAGAGAGGATAGGTATAACTCTTGAAGACATACATGCAGGCAAATACTTCATGAATAAAACACTGATCACATGACAAACATTACAAAGAATCAACAGCTGAGATCTCATTATATTAAAAGCTTCTACATAGCAAAAGAAACTACTCCCAGAGCAAAGAGGGAACCCATGGAGTGGGGAAAGATTTTGCCAGTTGTCCTTCAGACAAAGGACTAATATGCAGTGATAGAATTGTGGCACGGCTGAAAAGATAAGAAGTATGAAATACAAATGACCTTAATTTTAAGAATGCGGGGAGAGACCCCCGATCCCCTGGGTTCTGATATTGTCTCCCCAGGGTCAGAGATCTCTCCGTCAGACATGTGGAGTGGGGGCATACATGTAGCTTAGGTTTAGGGTGGAGCTTGAGGGGCATTAGGGATGCACAGGTAGCCAAGTGGTATTCGTTTGGTGCCTGAGGTAAATTCCTAGGGGTGGGGGAGATGGAGCTCTCTGGTTTTGCCTCTAAGGCTTCACCGGCTATGGTGTCCTGTCTGGGCTAAAACTCTTTCATTCCCGTCTTACGATTATTATTATGAAAAGGGGCAAAGATTTCTTTTTTACTGATTCCTGCTGGAAGGGGGCACTGTACTGGGGTCTAGGGGAGTTGACAGGATGATGGTTGATGCCCATGTAGAAGCTGGTGCCAGGTGTTTTAGCCAGGGCAACTTTATCACTGGTGAATGCACATATGTTAGACTGGAAAAACAAAGAGACAAGATGTTATGAGGAGGCATGGCACTATCATATTTAAGGCCCCAGGTGAGGTAAAATCATTGTCACCATAAGGTAGAATCCTGAAAAATAAATGTGGGGTTAGGAGAAGTGAAGTTATGACAGGTGATTACTCTCCCATCTGAAAGGGTAAAAGTTAAGAGGGTAAGGCTTGTCTCTGGTATGCATGACATGGGAGTCTTTAGGAATACTGTTGACAGTCCTGCTGTAAAAAAGGATAAGAAATTAGAAACTAAATTGGATAACAAAACATGACAGCCTGAGAGTTGTGGCTGTGAGGCCTTGGTGAGATGGAGATGAGTAGGCAAAAGGATGCTTAGATCTAGGGCTGGACGGGCACCACTTAGCCTGAGTGATGTGAAACCAGGATGGCAGTCTAGCAACTCTGATCACTGCTGAGGTTGCCAAGAATATCAGGTATGGGTCGCTGTAACCTGTCTATAGTTCTTGGAATGATTTATTATAACAGGACTTTAATAAGTATATCAGCAGTTTCCCTGGTTGTGGGAAAGGCTTTTATGTATCCTGAAAAAGTATAAACAAAGGTGAGAAGGTAAAATTTATCTTTCAGTCTTGACCAGGGTTGTGTCTGAAAAACTGGTGAACAGGAAAGGAAGGGGGTGGCTATATCATTTTGAGGAGAGGTTTACTAGCGATAACAGGTGTAAGCTGTTGAGGCCTCAGTGTCTGGGTCAATCTGTATAAACACAAGGGATTAAATAGCATTTTTAAGATTTAGGACTATAGAGTGAGTGGTGGAGGAAAGATTTGGCACCACTGGGTGGATTGGGAAGAAGCATGAAATAGGCCCTGTTTATAAATGGCATAGGTTGACCCTCAATATCTTCTAGAGACTGAGGATTTAATATAGCAGCCTGAAAACTCAGGAAGAACTCTGTATATGTGGCCTCTATGTCCACAAGTATAGAAAATGTCTTACCTGAGACTTTTAGTGGGACTTGGGACTCTGAGATGGACACCTTAACAGGGGCTGTTGTTGGCCCTGAGCCCCGTTAGTCTTCAGCAGCAAAATTAAGCAGATCTGTCAGCGATGAATCTGGCAGTGTTGGCATTTCCTGTGAGGGCTAGAAGTTAGGATGGCTTACCCACTCTCTGGTGGCTAGGACAGTCCAGTAGCCCTGGGGTAAGATCCTAAAGGAACACCAGGTTGGGGCACTCTCTTGCCCAATGTCCTTCTGCTGCATTTGAGGCATGGTCCATGGGTGGGGGGAGGCCCAGGCAGCTCCACCTTATGTTGGTTTACCTGTCTCAGAACTCCAAGTGTCACAAGTGTTATTGTTATCTCTGTTGTTGAAAACACGAAAAGCCATATTAAGAAGGTCTCTATGAGGTTTGAAGGTCAAGTTTTGCCTTTTTGTTTGGGATTTGGTCTACAGTAGAAGGTATCTATAGAATTTAATTAAGTATGCAGGATTCAAATACAATTAACAGGGTATTTATGACTTTAGTAATGGCTTCCCATAAGGAGGACAAGGTCTAGGGAATTTTAGGAACTGACATGTCATTATGTCATATATAAGTATCTCTTTATGTTATTAAAATGTCTAATGCCATGTGATTTTTTTGGAGGATGGCCTGTTTTATTAATTCTTTACCTTTTTATTTAGGAGAGAGATCAGCTACAGTTTCATTTAATATCAGTTGAATATAGTTAATTATGGCTTGGTGGAGAGCTGAGCCAGGACCAGCAGACAGGCTGGGAAAGGTTTAAGTTTGGCTTCTGCCGCAGTGTTGGTCTTGTTGTTTTGCATGTATCATATAACCCGTTTTGGAAAAGAGCTAGTGGTTCCCAGCAAAAGGAATTTATAATTGTCTCTTAATTTTAGTTATTAAATAGTTAGGAGATTGGTAACAGTACAGTATAATATGTATAGTATAATATAAGCAGTAAGTTTCACATAGAACATTACTAGTGGTTTACAGCAAAAGGAATTTATAATTACCTCTTAATTTTAGTTGTTAAACATCTAGATTGGTAAAAATACAGTAGAATATAGGCAGTGAGCTTAATATCAAACATTAAATGGCTATTTTAACATTTGAATGCCGAAGAAATTTGTGAAACATCTCTAAGTGTATATCTGGATCTGAAAGAAAACATTTGTCATGGCTGGAACACAAGAAAAAGGCAGCAGAAAATATCTGAAAACACGAATACAGCATCAGATCAGCAATAATCAGTTGTTTGCTGCGCTTGTCTCTGCACTGGCAGACAGAGCCGCACCTGCAGACAGAGCCATACCTGCACTTGGGGGTGAGGGCTGGGATCTCTCTGGCATGCAGCGCGTAGGTGGAACACGCAGAATGGGTGGGGTGTTTGGGGCAGGCGGGGCGCCAGGGTGGGGTGGCACATGCAGAGTGAAGGTGGAATGTGTGCCAGGACACAGCACGTGAGGTGGGTCCAGAACTGTCCCAGAAATGCACGCAGAGTGGGGAGCAGTGTAAGCAGAGTGGGCCGGGCAGCGGGTGCACAGCACACAGGGGGGGGGGGAGCTGGGACGGGCCGGGACCCTGCATGGAGCTGGAGCACCGCATAAAGCTGGGACTGCTTGCAGGGCATGTGGAGTAGGGCGTGGTGTTAGACCTGGACCCCACGTGGAGCTGGAGCATTGCATCAGAGCCAAGACATTGCATGGAGTTGGGGCACAGCATGAGAGCTTAAAGCAGCCTGCACATATCTCTCAACATTGTTTGGGTGCACCGCCCCCATCTTGGCGGGGAATGGGTCGGCACTCATGGTGGGAAAGGGGAAGCATCGAGGAAACAAAGGGAACACTGGAGGGAAAGGACACATACTTTCAAAAAAAACGCTTAAAGATAGTTTGAAGAGCATATTCCCAAAACAAAAGCTTAAAGATAGAGAGTTTTGTAAACTTGTCGTCAGTGTGGTAAGCCATAGATAGGTATGGTTTTTTTGGGGGGCACAGGAAGTGGTCCCCAAGATAAAATCTGGTGTGGGGTCTGGTCCACGGAGTTATAGCCAGATGAGGCAACGGACCATGGTCTACTAAGTTTAAGTCATCACTTGTACTTTAGGCTGATTGGTATTTTGGTTCCAAAGCTCATAATAATTGGCGGTCACCAATATATATACGAATGGATTTTTCCATGGATTTTAGTAACAACTCTGCCTGTGAGGACTTAAAAAGCTCTGAAGGACATGAGAGTTTCTCAGTGTGGACCCAGGTTGGCCCAGAAAAACTCTGCCATGGGCTGTCTAAGGACGTGAGAACATCACGCGAATCCATGGAAAGGGGGAGAAAACCCACGTGGGGCCTAGCCCAGTGCCGAAGAATTCTCTGGAGTTTGCTCACCTGTGATAAATTGGGCCGGTGTTGTTTGCGAACTATTGGCAACAAGTTTACAGCTCCTGAGTGTAGAAGTAGTGAGGAATTAATCCAGGATGCAGTTTGGTCTGTGACAGCAGGGGACTCAGACTGGGAGGATCCCAGGAGTCGCTCATCTGCTGTTCCTGGTCAGGGAACCATATGATAGAATTGTGGCATGGCTGAAAAGATAAGAAGTATGAGATATAAATGACCTTTATTTTAAGAATGTGGGGAGAGACCCCCCCAGATCCCCTGGGGTCCAGCATCTCCCCCCAGGGTCGGCGATCTCTCCATTGGACATGTGGAGTGGGGGCATACATGTAGCTTAGGTTTGGGGTGGAGCCTGAGGGGCATTAGGGATGCACAGGTAGCCAACTGGTATTCGTTTGGTGCCAGAGGTAAATTCCTAGGGGTAGGGAAGATAGAGCCATAAGTAAATTCCTAGGGGTGGGGGAGATGGAGCTCTTTGGTTTTGCTTCTAAGGCTTCACCAGCTAAAGTGTCCTGTTTGGGCCAAAACTCTTTCATGCAGAGGTAAAAATCAGATACCTCAAATTTAAAGCCTAACCCCAAAGTAGGTATCTGAAATGAATGCACATTTATCAGATGGAAAAGCATAAATAGCAGATAAATACATGAAAAAATGTTCAACGTCACAAGTCATTCAAGGGATACAAATTAAAAGAACATTAAGACTCCATCTCACTCCAGAAATAATGACTAGTATCAAGAAGCCAACCCACAACAAATGGCAGGGCTGGGGGAAAAAGGAATGCTTCTCTGCTGTTGGCAGGAATGTGGACTGGAGAAACCACTGTGGAAATCAGTGTGGAGATTCCTCAAAAAACCAAATTATAGGTCCCATTTTATCTTCTTGGTATCTTCCCAAAGGAATTAAAAGCATCATACAATAATACATATGGACTTCAGTTTCTAGCAACACAGTTCATGATAGTTTAATCTTGGAAACAGCCCAAATACCTATCAACCAATGCATAGATAAAGAAAACATAGGGTTATTTTTTAATGCTATGGTATACTACTCAACCATAAAGTGCAGCATTTCCTGCAGCTCTTGAAATTCATGACGGGAGAACAGTGGAGGATGAAGAAATGAAGACGAGAGTCAGATTGCAGAAAGCTGAGGTCAGGTGGAACCCCCTCTCCTGATGGGAGAAAAGGAACTGCCCAACCACTGCAGTGCATTTATTTATACAATCAGCAAGAGGCTGATAATAGGCGAGACCCCTTTCCTAGTGTACAAGGGGACCTGCCTAACAACGTGTTTGCCTAGCTCACCTCATGTGCTCCATGTTGTCAGGCTGACCTTGCTTTAGCCCTGCGTGTGTGCTAGAACTCCAGCTCAGATCCTCTCCACAATGAAGGAAGATAAACTTGAGATATTTCTAGCTAAATGGATGAACTTTGAGATCATACTCTTCAGCGATATAAATCAGAGCCATATATGTAATATCATGCTGTCTCACTGGTGTGAGAAACTAAAAGTATAAGTAAGACCAATATATATAATAGATAGTGTGAAATAGGACAAAGTGGTGCAAATGAAAAGGAGAAGTAAGGAAAGGGGGGAGAAAAGGAAGGGAGAAGAAAAAATGAGAAAAGAATGATAAAATCGAAGCAAAGTTTATGTAAACGAGGAGAGGAAGAAGTGTTGAAGGGAGGGGCAGCAAATGGAGAAAAAGAATCAAAGATATATCATGTATGTGTACAAATTCCCTATGGTCAATGTGATCGGTGTGTATATTCATACTTTACCAATAAAATTAACTTGAGGAAAGAGAGAAAAAGAAAGTAAAAAGTCAATAAAAGTTAGAGGTAGGAAAAAGAAGTGTTTGGGCTTGGTATTCAGATTGAGAAGAGCAACCTTTATCTATTCATGCATTGCAATTTTAACTAAAGCTCAGAAAAGTAATTAGTACTATTTTCATTGTTTGGAGCTCTTTGGCATTTGAGGATTTGGGGTTGTTTTTTTTAATGTTTTTATTTTGTCTATGTCAGAACAAATGAAAGATTTTCTACCATGTGCCTGTATCCATAGGTTAAAAATCTTTAAAAAAACATTTAGTTTTTTTTTAAACAAAATGTAAAGTTTCTTAATTATACATTTATAAACACTTATAGATCACAAGAGGTAAATATTTGAACTACATTATTCATAGTTTTTTCTGGAGGCTCTTGCTTAGCTAGGTAAAATGATTTAGGATTATTCCAAATTTAATTCCTGATTTAAAGGACGAAATGAGGCAATAGTTTTGTCAGCTTTTCCTGCCAGTGGGCCACAGGGACACGCAAGTGAAGAATTGCTTTAAATCACCCTTTGTCTCATCTTTCCTCCAAGGCCATCACTTACTCTGAGTCAGTAAATGGGTAAGCTAGAGAGTCCAAGGAACCACAAATGTATGTGATCATTGCAGGCTCACAGGCTAACAAAGACTACTTTTCAAAATTCTTCTCAATTGACTGACACAAAAAAATAAGAGAAAATTGTTCATCTTTCCTTCTGAGAAGTAAACTTCCAAGGTCAACTAATTAAGTGGTGTGAACCAAGCATCAAATCATGTTCTGATTATTTAAAATGCTTTCAGAGATTTATTCTCTGATGAGACTGAAGTCACCACAGTAACCGTATCAATGACTCATTAAAAGGTCAAGGGGAAAAATGTATTTCTCCCTCCCCCAACATGGCATAATGGTTGGATTCATTTTCCCTGCTTTTAATCTATCTCTGAAACATCCTGACTTGAATAAAGCAGGACAACAACAAAAGAGTCTATTAATTATCCCATTTGGTTCCCCAGTAGACAGTCCATCCATGTTTTAAATCATTTATTTAGTGAGTCCATAGGAAAAAGAAGTTCTGCCCAATACAATTTACATTGAGGAAACGCTTAATTCTGAACAAAATCAGAATCTTTAGAGCTAGTTTCTGGGCTATAGGGACACGCAACTGAAGAGCTGCCTTAACCCATCTTTGTTTCATGTCTCCTCCAAGACCAGCACTTACTGTGAGCAAGCTTTAAAATTTTAAGTAATTTTAAGGGAGTAAAAAAGACCTTAATTTCTAATACCATTTTACTTATTTTTAAAAAGCGTAGGCCCTTTATAAATCACTTCAAACTCAAAGACTCTTTCCTTATCTACAAAGTAAAGATATGCAATAAAAATATTAAACTTCAGTAAATATGAAAAAAGAGAGTACCCACTAAAAATTACATGTTAATCTTTTTTCATTCTAACATGGCCAGACTTCTCTACAAAGAGATATAAAAATGACAATGCCTTATTACCATATTCAAATGTAATGCATTTAAATTAACCCCGCTTTTTAGATGATTAATTCTGACCAAGCATTCTTTCCTCTTTGCTTAGTGAATGATAACAATTAATTTACAGTAAGCAGGTGATTCACATTCTACTCACACTCCGACTTCCTGGCTATAACCCACGGAGAGGAGGACCCAGCCATCTTGGCTGGCTGCCTATTCATCTGTGGGATTATTCTTCTTTACAAGCTGCTGCCACAGAAAGATGAATTCACATCCAGCTGAGACAATTGTCCTCATCACCATATGTCTTCTGGGAATGTTCCCCAATCTTAGCCACATGTCGAATGTCTCCTTTTGTAATGATATGAGCAACCATTTTTGTTTTTCCTCCGTGCTGGCCAATTTGTGTTAATTACTTTGCATATATTATTTCTTTTAACCTTCACAACAGCTCCATGAATGAAACGTTATTATCTCCATTTTACAGATGAGAAAACAGGAAGACAGAGGTTTAAAAAATTTCCCACAGACACAGAAGTAGTATTTGACACCTGGATGTGAACACAAGTCTGTCTGGCTCTTAATCGTTACCTCAAATTCTTTTTTGATCTAAGTAATGAATTAAGTCCCACTCAGATCCTGCTCTATGTTTACAGTCAAATCAGAGAATAAATAAGGCATCCTATGTCAGAAAACTTTACTTACCATATATATTAATAGTAATGGTGGACATGTATTAAAAAATTACCAAATGCTAGGACTGGAATGTAGTTCATCGGTAGAGTGATTCCTAATGTGTGCAAGGCTCTGGGTTGGATCTCTAGCATGGTAAAATAAAAACAAAGAAATAAATAAATTATAACATTAAGCACTTTATACACACTTTATTCTTTTTTTTGAGCAATAGCCATTCTAGACATAAGATATGTGCTGAAAGATACTTTATGTCTACTTATTTATTTAAAAGTTGCTTTTCTGTTATGTGTGCTGGGGATAATAGTCAGGGTTCCATGCAATCTAGGTAAGCACTCTACCACTCTATCACTGGAAGAATGACAGTCTCTTTAATAAATTGTGCTGGGAAAACTGGCTATCCATAGGCCAAAAACTAAAACTAGACCCAAGCCTATCACCATATACTAAACTAAAATCTAAATGGATTAAAGATCTAAATATTAAAACAGAAAAACTAAATCTGTTGGAAGACAAGGTGGGAAAAATGTTGAAGACATAGTAGTAAGTAGAGAATTCATGAACAGGAATCAAACCGCACGGAAACTACTTCCCAGAATCAATAGTGGGGATTGCATCTTATTAAAAAGTTTCTGCTTGCCAAAAGAAATCTCCAGCATAGTGAAAAGAAAACCCACAAACTGGCAAAAAAATCTTAGTGAACTGTCCCTCAGACAAAGAACTTCTGTCTAAAACATATATAAAGAAGTTTTTAAAAATCAGACCACCGAAATTCAAGGACTGAATCCAAAAATGGGCATCTGAGATGATAACACAGTTCTCAGATGAAGAAATACAAATGGCAAATAAATACATGAAAAAATATCATCATTAGTCATTAGAGAAATGCAAATTAAAACAACACTGAGATTCCATCTCACTCCAGAAAGAATGGTCAGGATCAAGAAAACCCCCAACAACAAATGCTGGAGAGGCTGAGGGGGAAAAAGGAACTCTCCTGCACTGTTGGTGGGAGTGTAGACTGGTACAACCAGTGTGGAGGTCAGTCTGGAGAATCTTCAAAAAGCTGGGGTTGGAAGTCTCATTCGATCCAGCTATTCTACTTCTAGGCATATTCCCAGAAGAACTGAAAACATCACACCACAGTGATATATGCATACCCATGTTTATAGCAGCATAATTTGTAATAGCCAGATATTG